AAAAAATAAGAAAATACCAAGTAGAGGATATTTACATTCACCTGAATATTCCACGGTACTTAAATAATTGATTACAGTTGGAAAATTAACCCTTGGTTTAATAGATTAAGCGCGAAAGGCAGCTACTCGAAAACTGATTAGTCGGTACCGCGCCGATTCCAGTATTTTTTTTTTTTTAAAGGTAACGTTCGCGAAGAGAGGGGTGAGTAAATTGCATATGTAGAATTTTGTATTTATGACTTTTACTTTTCCCTCTCTAAGCTCAAACAGTTTTTTATGAACTGTCGCCATGACTTTTTTGCCTGCCTCCATATAATTGAAACATAATGCTTCACAGAGAAAAACTACAAACGCAATTTACTATATTTGGCCCACAGTTTCGTTAGTATATTGATTGCTTCATATGTTTTGAATTTTTTTTTGTATGTTTTAATCATATCAGATTTGCACTGTTCATTTAATTTCAAAAAAAAAATATGTGTCAAATGAAAAGGCTTGGCCTACAGATGTGGAATATTGTATTATTATTCGAGTAGGATTGTTGATGACATCAGATTTGCACAGTCCTTTCAATTTTCAAAATTAGGTGTCAAATGAAAGGGTTTGGCCTTCAGAAGGTTTTATTTTTATTTTTTTTATAGAGTTGCCGGCTGTCTAAAAATTTATAAGATCACATTCAGTGCGTGGCGTCGGCTAGTTAACAGAAAAAAAAGCAAAAAATGTTCACCAAAATTTCAAACTTATTCAGAATTTTTAGAATATTTTTTGGTTCACAATTTTATAGCCCATCAACTTTTAGTACAATAAAGTGTAAGTTTGAAGTCTCAAAAAAATCCCGTACATACACACACATGTGTTTATGTACATACACTATGCTGCGCGCGTTATTTGTACGGAGGCATGAACACCAACTAAACTTTGAAAACTTGTCAAAAAGTTGAGCAGCTGTTATTTTGACCGTAGGTGTGTATGAAACTAAAGCTAAATAAAATAAAATCAAATAAAACAGCGGAAGTAGTTCTTATTGCTTAAACGAAAGCTAATAAAAGAGTACAAAGCAAATAAGTGAATGCTAAATATATGTGTGTGTGTGTGTGCACGTAAAAAAAGAATCAAGTGTGGGAGGTAGTAAAAATACTAGTGTTGGGAAGTATCGAGTACTTTTGAGGATCGAGTTCTTTGGTATCGATACTTTTAAGGATTGGGTATTGGGTACTTTCTTTAAATATACACACAAGCTGGTAGCATTTTATTCAAATTAATATATGAATCCCAAATTACGTAAAATGAATGGCTAACTGTACTGGGTACAAGTATTGTACTTGAAAACTATTGAAACTTCAAATTGAGTACAATCATTTCTGAATACCGATAAATGTAAATAAAACTCAGTACTTTTTAAGTATATTCGACACCTAATACTGAGTAATTTGAATCGATCCTGAGTACATGTATCAAAACGGAAGATTGGAACAGAATATTTTTGAGTACTGAGTACTTTCGACATCTTTTAAGTTCTAAATACTATCCATTTCTTTTGTAAGTACTGAGTTCTTTGGAGTACTCAGTATCGATACTTTCAAAAATTGGGTTCTGTCGATCCTTTTGAGAATCGAGTTCTGAGTACTTTTGGTATCGATACTGCCCAACACTAAAAAAATAGTTAGAACGAGATATTTATATATGTATGTAAGCTGCGATAGTTACGAGCGCTTGAGGAAACACAAACAAGCAAAGCGTTAAACATCCAATTTATGTACTTTTGATTTCTCTGTTTGCTTTACCTAATACGTCCGCGGTGGTACAAGGCCGGGTATGTTGAGAAATGCTTTAATTGACAGATTTTAAATTTTAGTTATCATTAGTTTTTGATAAATTTAAATAATATTCAGCAATTTGCAATGCAAATGCGTTGAACGGAAAAAATCCAAAATATTTGTTAAGCAAAAAACATAAGAAAATACAATCACAGTAAATGTACATATTAGGGCTGTGCGATTAATTGATTATTCAAAAATGTTATGAATCATTAAGTTAGTAACTCAATTCTTCGATTAACTGGAAATTATGATTACTCAAAAGTTCGTTTACTCGAGTAATTAAGATTTTAAATAACCAAAAACAAAAATATTTGAGTAGTTTGCTTTAAGATTAATCGGCACTATGAGTAAAATGAGTAATCAACATTTCAAAGTACTCTTTACATATAAAATAGTGATACTTTGGAAACAACGTTTCTGTTTTCAAAAATTTAAATTTAATATTTTTGTCACATACAGATTGTTATAAAGAAAATACGCATTTTCTAAAGCAAACTCTTTTAATGAGCAAAACTTATTTTTTTGAGCAATCATGTTTTAAGTAACTCGATTAATCATCGTTTTGAGTAATCAAAATCTTGATTACTAGACTAATTGATTAACCGAATAACTGATTAACCAACATGCTCGAGTAATCGAATAATCACACAGCCCTAGTACATATGTATGTTTTATTAATAATATGAATGTGTGAAGTGTTGAGTGGTTAATTGTGAATATACATATATAGAAATTAAATTATATTTTTAACTGTTATATTAATTTTTAAGCACATTTTCTCGTATAATATGTACATAAAATACTTTTACTACTATTTGCAGGTGATTTTAAGGAGGAACCCCCTTTGCAAATGCAAAAAAAAAAATTGTTTCCTGCATATTTCAAAAAGATCGTACTGCAGATAATCAAAATTGTTGATTAATCTGGTAAAAATTTCGGGAGGTTGATGTCTACTGACGACCATTCCTATTTTTAGAATGTATTTAAGACACTGATTCCGGATATGCAATTCGCTTTTGTAGATTGTTTTTGGCTTGCGAATTTTTCTAAAATTTCGGTTGCTAAAATTCGGAAAGCTATATTTCCATTACCATCCCAGAGAATATAAAATTCGATTTGAGTGACACTAGGGTATGGAATTAGGGAGTGGTCAACGTTTTTCGTATTCAGAGGGGCAGCCATTTTAGAACCTCAGACAAAACTATGCCCAACCTTAAAATATACGTTGTTGTCAAGCCGCAGAAATAAAACTACATAAACATATTTTTTCACTGACTCAAAGTTTCCACATTTTGATCAAAAAGCCAGCTTTAAAACATAAATTCAGAGACCTTTAGTAAAACTTAGCTACCTTTTCTTTAATGGAACAAATCTTCCACCAAAAAAGAAAATGTTTTGCAGAGTAAGGGAGGAATATTAAATCAATAGCTGCTATTATCTCACGCGCTACTGTTAGGTAGGGCCTGTTTGAGGCAAGTTATAAAAGCGGTATTAATGCCGCACTGATAAAAAAAAATCTGCAACACTGTAGCAAATGCCCAACCGATAAAACGTTGCCCGAAATACACACCGAACTAATAATTCGCGCAACACTGCGGTTGTTATGCCCATGGGCNTAAAAAAAAATCTGCAACACTGTAGCAAATGCCCAACCGATAAAACGTTGTCCGCAATACACACCGAACTAATAATTCGCGCAACACTGCGGTTGTTATGCCCATGGTACGCAGAGCATAATTTAGAGGGGGGCTGAGATTTTTTTAATGTAAATTTTATTAGAAATGCCAAAATATAGCTATTAACAAGTAAGAAAGTCTAAGTTCATGCGGAGCGAAACATTAAATCCCCGGCGCAAGTATTAAATATATGTTTTCCACCTTTCCGAAAACTACCGCTACATGATAGGCCGGGGTGGTTTTACCCATATTTTCAACAACTTCGATAGAACGTTTAGTTAGACATAATGAGATAAACTTATATAGTCATATGTGGGCGATATCACCCCCTTCTTGCGAAATTCCAAACAATGTTACTACTTTTCATCGGATTGTTTTTAATATTATTTTTGAGTAAATTAGCGTCCTTAAATTTCGAAATATTGCAGTTTCAAGCATTTATGAAATTTACCGTTATATGAAAAGCGGCCGTAATTTTAGTCCGATTTCAATAATTTTCAACGTTTTGCTTCTGTGTGGCAAGCACAATAACCACACCGAGTTTGGTACAAATTGGTAGAACGGTTACCGATATACATATATGTGACCATAAGTGGGCGGTGCCAAGCCCATTTTCTAAAATTTTATCATAAATGTATTTCTTCGTAAAGAATTGTTGCAAGCATCAATTTTGAATAAATTAGCTTTAATATTTACTGATTTATCGAATATTTCGTATTTCTCTAAATTACCGTTATATGAGATGTGGGCGTGGTTATTGTCCGATTTTGTCCATTTTCAATAATTAACGGTACTCCCTAAATTTGTATATGAAAATTGAAGTCGGTTGTGTTTTTTGCTTAAAAATTACTCGTTATTGTAACAATTGAGTTGTCCCGAGCCCTACAAAGGAATTTATATTGCACAAAGTTTATTATGAACTTATTGAAGAGTTAAAATACAAATTAATTAGTAACCTTAATTGCATGCAAATTTTAAAATGCGACTTCGTCTTTACACCAAAATCGTAATTTTTTCATTATTTTTAACCGACTTCAAAAAAATGGGGAGGTTATCTATTCGTCGGAAGATTTTTTTCGTATACATACATTTATACATTTAAAGGAAAGGTGGTACTCTCATTTTCGTTGTTGGTGTTTCCGACAGGGTAGGAGTGTGATGTAATGTGGAACGATTTTCCGTCATCCCTTGTCAAATTTGGTTTGGAGACAAACCGGTTTCGGCGTTGTGCCATCTTCAGTGTCATTTTTCGTTCTGAATAATTTCTGTTTGTCTGTCACTATTTATAGCCGTGTTAAATCGTCGTTGGTTCATAGTTAGGTACGTCTCAGCGGATTATATTCATTCCTTCAACCAGTAGTTTCAGTTCTGTGTGTACATCCTCAGGTAGAAATTAGCTGGTAGGCAAAAATCAGTTATTTTCTTTACCTCAGAGGTGGTCCAATCCTAATTTGGTTTAGATCCGACTATTGGATCGTGAAGAAATTAACAGAAATCTTAAAGTTTTACATGTGAATTGAAGTTAGTTGTGTTTTTTGCTAAAAAATTACTTGTTTATTTAAATCAGAGCTGCTCACTCCATAAGCACTTGTAGCACATTTGTTTTTGTTCTGCGTTCATTGAACTGTGGAAGCACGAGATCCTTTTTGCAAAAATTTTGGGTGCAAAGCGTAGTGTATGTTGTGCTTTATAATTATTAAATATGTGCAAGGAATCTTCCAACTAAATTTTGTAACTTTTCAGCCACTAGATCCCTATCATTTTTTAACGAACTGTATTATTCCACATACATATATGTAAATACTCTAATTGTTAACAATTTTCATTCATTAATCGTACAATAGAAATAAACTTGTATCTTTAGCTTTATTTAAATTACAAAAAAAAAGGTCTCAGTGTACACATAAATTTTGTAGATATATTGTGATTTCACTTCAATATAAAATGCGCCATCCCCCCCCTAGCCCGCACCTGCGTACGCCCATGGTAATTCCTTTAAATAAAATACCCCTTAAAGCCTTTGTAGGGCAAATAATGCATTTGTTTAGACTAAAAACCATAGAATAGTATTTTTTAAGTAGTTTTTCAATCACAAAGATTTGCCTTAAAGTTTTATAAAATTGTGATATATAGTGGATGCGTACTATGTACATAGCCAGACATACATACATACAATTTGTACGTTTGTTCGTTGATATCATTATGCAGAATGCGAATCTGAAGTCTTGGTCCGCAGACTGGGAGATGCACCGCATGCTCTACCTTAACTCTATCAAGCAAAATAAATATGTATACATTTTTTGTATTGTTAATTTATTCGAATTATATTCAGTTTTTTCCTTTTGTAACTTATCTACATAAGAAAATTGTTCAATCTTAAAATCAACGTACACTTCATTCTATTTGTTGTGTGGAATAAAGTTTGTAACAGGTGTCCAGAATTCGATTAGCAATATCTCGGCATTCTTCTGATGTTTCGCCACCAAATAGAGGAGATTTCACAAAATCCTCCAGCCATTGTTGTATTTCAGCAATCTGCTCGCCAAACTGGGTCGTCAGTATATGTGACGGTGTGCACACCAGAGTGGCGCCAATCAGCTCCAGCGTGACTAAACGTATGCGCGCCTCGGCGTTGAATCGGACAAATGCGCATAAATCGAAAACTTCTCGTGCGATTACTGGCAGGAGTGGACAATTCTGGGCGCTGAACACAAACACAGTTAAGGTATGAAGGAAATTCACCAACAACAGCGCATCTATATCCTGCGCAATGTGGTCTGGCTTCACATACAGCATTTGGCGCGTGCGTGCGCCGCGTACAAGCGAGAAGAAGAATGTGCCTGCGACACTATGGAAACGATTCGTTTTCGCCAACTTTGAGTCCAACGCTTTATTGCGGCTATGAAATCTTTTGGTTTTTTCCTTCAGACGTTGTCGTACTATTCGCTGTGCTGCCAGTAAACGTGACTCGTGCTCATTTTCGAAATTAAATTTACGCGGATGCTTAGCTGGTGTTGGTATGAGCGCTGTTTCAATGTTGACTTCCGCTTCGGCGGTGATGCCTGAGAGCTCTTTAGCAGCAGCGGCCAATATTTGCAACATAAGAATGCGCAAATTGGCATTGTAACAGGAGTTGTCGGTATGGAATTCACGACACAGATACTCCGCAGAGGGCCCAGGTAACGAGACACAAATCGCTAAGCCACATTTGAATTTCGTGCGCTCGAAATCTTCGAAATAGTATTGCATTTCTAACGGTACAAAGAGGCGCAATAGATCAACAGCAAGTCGGGAATCTTGTTGTGGCAATTGCGTGCGTATAAGCTGTTCTGCTGAGGACATAGCAGCCTCAAACACTTCGTAATTGTCTGTTTTTGTGCTTAAGGTGTGTAGCAGATCCAGTAAAAATTTGGGACGTTTTTCTGTAATAACTGACGTATCGTTAGACATATCATAAGGTTTGTATTCTTCTTCATCGTCGTCCGAATCTAGATCCATTGCGGGCGCTGATTTTTCAATGTTCTGCGAATTGTCGCTAGTTGCTTTAGAAGCGTTCGATGAAACGGTTTTGGAATTGGAATTTGGAACTACAGGTTTATTAATTTTAGACGCTTCTCCAGTGAAGTTTTCTAATAATTTTTTTAATCTACTCACATTATTCGTTGAGTACGCCTTCTCAGCTTTCTGAGCGTGTTTGTAATTGTTAGCAATACATTCGAGTTCCGTTATTAGACTGCCACGCGGCAACTTCAAAACATCTTCATATTCGAAACGTAAACGTTCCTCTTCTTTTGTTTGTGGGTCTTCCATATAGTTGAATATCAACTCTACAACTTTCATGCCTATATGGCGCTTCACTACGTCCGTACATTCAAGATGGAAGCGCAAAGCTTCGTGCAGTTCGCGTTTATACTTGTTGTCATCCAACTGGAGCAGATTGCTACCTTTTCGATCGATATACAGTTGTTTGGCGGCTATTATAAGTAATTTTGCAATACGTAAATGCTCCTTGTCAGTTAGTTTCTGCAATGCACTACGTTTCGACCAAATGTCAAGTAGTTGTTTGAAGAGCTGTTGGACGAGTTGTTGATCGTTCAGAGCTAAATACCGAACTATAGCACACAGAGCATGTTCGGCATCTGGCGCGCGTTGTAGCGTCAGTTTTTGGGTGAAACAAATTCGCCACATTTCAGAAGCGGCGGCCGCATTTCCAATTAAGCGATAAACATCGACATCAGGAGCAGAAAGTATCATAACCGTAGCCAACCGGTGTGCGGCGGTCGCGTCCAGCAAAATAAAAATGGTTTGTAGGATATCACGCTGCACCGGAAACTTAGCAAACTCATCGGCAATTTTCAAAAACTCACTTAACTGATTGGCATCTTGGTCGATACTACAAAAATTTGTAATAATGCGGCTTAAAAGTCTACTGCAGAATTCCAAGTTGAAGCAGGAAACATCTTCACATTTAAAAATGAAATTGAAAACACGCAACAAATGCAGGAGCAGAAGATGTCCATAATATCTAGGCATAAATGTATCTGGTAGCGCCTGCCCCAACTTATTGGCAACACAACTTGGCATCGCTATAATAATTTGCAAAAATTCTGTAACAGCTGCATTGAATTCTTCCAAAGGTTGTGCCGGCAAGGCATGCAATATAGATTTGAATTTCTGTATTAGCGCCGCATGTTCTCGACAAATGTGTAATATAGCTAATGGCAGCAATTGGGTGTCGCTAACGAGCTCTGTCAGCACATCGACTGTCGTTGAGGATACATCGCCGTCTGCGTTAGCCAAATGCTTGTTGAGTGCATAGAATGTTTCATATATGAAGGCGAAGCTGTAGTCAATTTTTAATAGATTCAAAACTTGCACATCACCAACGGATGGCTTAATGCTAGGCCATTCGCAGTTAAATAATTTCGTTAAGCTTCTCAAGAGTTCGGCATACTCGTACGCGGTGATCTGGGACCAATCGAATTCATCCTTGTCTAGTCCAACTAATTTTTCCGCTGTGCAATATCCGGGCAAGGCTCCATTGTTATATAATTGTTCAATTATTTTCACAATTTTCGCTGTATCAGCTGCGCATGCCACTTGCGGTATGGATTGGACTGTGCTAATTGCCTGTTTCAATGCATTTCTAACGGTGGCAGGTATTGTTTCGATTGTGTGCGTCTCTTCATTGCCGTCCTCGGCTGAAATTGAGAAGAACGTGTGTATCCAATTGGAAATTGTCTCCGCAAAATGGCAAAAGGTATGTACGAGTAGTTACAAAACGTATGCGATTTTCAATACTTTATATTATTCCTACTTTTCAATACGGTAATTTCAGTTGATCAAAAATTTAAATTTAACTATACTATACACATGTAAATTTGGTACTTTACGTTTTCAACTTTAGAGTTAAAGGTGTTAAAGCAAATATATTGGCATGCACGAAAACATTTTGAATGTATGTCTTAAGAAAAATACTTCGCTTACCGCAAGCGAACTTACACAATAAACAAAAAATTTGTGGGCATGGGCAGCACAACGGAAATAAAACCTCTCTCTATTCATTTCCTTCGTTTCCTACTGCAAAAAATCCTACATTGCGATTTAGTGACTATGCTAACTAATTGGGAATATTTTATTGATTTGAAATTTATCTAAATCCTAAACCTTAATACTTAACGGTAATCTTAACTAAATTTTAATATTCATTTTAATTTTATTCTTAATTTTTGAACTTAATCTTAACCTTAATTGTAATAGTAATCAAATTATAAGCAATTGTTTTTTCACTATAATTTTTCATTAAAAACGGTCTCCAACTGAATACAGTTATTATTAAGCCCGAAAATAGCAAAACCAAACAACTTAAGAACGATCACGCTATCACGTCAAAATTCTAAAAATAAAATTTAACTATAAAACAAAAACTTAAGAGTAACTTTAATCTTAACTTTAATTTTAATCTTAATTTTAGTTCTTAAGTTAATGTTATTCTTAGTAATACTTATCTTCACTTTAATAGCAAAACCAAACAACTTAAGAATGATCACGCCATCACGTCAAAATTCTAAAAATAAAATTTAACTATAAAACAAAAACTTAAGAGTAACTTTAATCTTAATTTTAGTTCTTAAGTTAATTTTACCCTTAGTTTTAATATTTCTCACTTCACTTTAAAAATGTTAATATTAACCTTTATTTTAATCTTAACCTCAACATTAACCTCATTTTGATCTTAATTTTAGATGTATTCTTAACCCTAATGTTAATCTTAACCCTTATTTTAATCTAAGTCTTAAACTCATGTTTAATGTTAACCTCAAGTTTAACCTTATCCTTAATCATAATTTAAATCATAGCCTTGTTTTAATCTTCAACTCAATTTTGATAATAATTTTAATATTAAGTTTGATTTTAGTTTTGCATTATGAAATTTTAATCCTTATTTTAATTTTAATATTAAACACAATCTTAATCTTAAGGCGCCACTCAGCCGGTTTCGATACTTCACGCTCAATATTAGTATCGGCGGCAAGTGAGAGATATAGAAAAGAGATGCACTTCCCATGCATTTTGAACGCGAACTTTTTTCGTGACGATTTTGTTTTTAATTACTACGGCTGCTAAAGAAGTTTCACTTCAGAAATGTAAATATAAAGACACTTACCCATTGGCATGCTTTGATGAATGGACAAGTCCCCTAGGCCAGCCAATAGATCCGTGGCTGTTGAAGCACCAGACGCTGCTGTTGTGGAAACAGTTGTAGTGGAACCGCTGAACAAATCAAACGATTCATTAGCTGGTGTTGCAGTTGTCAGCAAATTGTTGTCTACTCCACTAGAAATATTTGAAGTTGTACTTCCTTGGAATGCTGAAAAGTCGGCAAATTCATCGGTGGAAGCTGATGCAATGTTCGCCGAGGGTAGTTCCGGTACCGCAGCACTACCAAAGGCCGAAGTGAAATCACCGAACTCTTGCGATTGCTTGGACTCAATTGCACGCGGGTTGAAATCGTCCAAGTCATCAGGCGTAACAGCAGCACTGGTCAATGTTTTATCATTCGGCACGGCGCACGTTTTGAAAATATCATCTATTAAACTATTGTTGTTATTATTGCTGCTATTGCTGTGTTGTTGTACGTTCGTAAGATTATTGTTAATAGATGATGCCCCACTGCCTACACCACCGCCACTGCTGCCACCAATCAAATCATCGCCATTACCGATTGGTGTATCACGATGAGTCGGCGAATGTATGCCTGCTGCAGAAGGTGACATCTTACCAAAGTTCGCTGCAGCACCCATATCAATTTTTTTAGCACCAACAGCCGGTTTCGCCGCTGGTTGCCTTGTGATGCTCGACGTCGTGCTGCTCGTCGCAGATTTTGGACGTAAATTCATACTGATGGAATTCGGCGGCTTTGCTTCCGTTCCAATTTCAGCGGGACTCGAACGATCGTTATAGCGATAGGCTCTCCTGTAAAATGGTAGAAGTTGTAAAACACGGGAAGCACGTTTCTGATATAACCACGGATTACATACCTCGGACTGGGAGAATCGCTATCGGAGTACTCCCTTTCGCCCTCGTACTGCGCGTCTTCGTCCTCGTAACGATCACCGCCACGCGCATCAGAATCTAGAGTAAATAGAGAGTAAAGGGCTCGAATTTATTTAATTTTCGCTTCATTAATACACGCTATTTATGTAGGTACTTACACCAATTGTCACCGAAATCGCTGCGCTGCGCACGCCAGTCATTATAACCGCTACTTTGTGCACTCATACTGCGCATACCCATCGCATCACTGCTCATGCCAATGTACTTATCCTTATTCTTTTTGGCTTTTTTTCGTTCATCGCGTAGCCGTTCATCGTCCTGTATGAAGTCTATTAATTCTCTAACCTGTAATGAAGTAAAAACAAGATTGAGCAAAATAAAAGCGAGGAAGATTAATTTGAGTTTACGCATTACCTTATGCCTAACGTTGATACCCTGATCCTTGCCACCTTCATCGGTGAATGTGTAGTTTTCCAGCGACCGTAAATCATAAATGTGTTCTCGCGAGGATGTCACCACACGCTCGGATCCATTACGTACCAAATAGTTCAACAAAAGTAAGCTCTGCACGGAATGATGTGCTTAACAAAAAAATGCAATTTTAATATCAATATATTTACTCATACCTTATAGGTTCTTCGCCAATTGGATTTATTGTCTTGTAACATACGCTTCCATAGCATAGACATCACTTCCGGAAAACTCTCATATGAAAAAGTCGAATGCGCCAACTCTTGCATTAAAGGGCCAGTAGGCCCCCAAGGGTCATCATTTGTTGCTTCTCGTACCTTTCCTTCGATTTCTGTATAATTCATTACGACATTGGTGCTGTTGAAAAATTGTAAATTGTTTGAGGATTAAGAATAACCATTTATAAATTATAAATCATATGTGTATACATATTTAATAATAAAACTTTATTTATGTATTCCTAAAAAGCAGTTTTCTTTCTTCAGAGCCATTGTTTTTGTTGTTGTAGCGGCTACAACATCCCCGCCCAGATCGGTTAATATCTCAGTCGTTGTCGTCAAGCTCCACTAACGGAAGCCCTAAGAGCCATCATTTGTAATAGTTAAGATTATTTGAGTATATTCATGGTCGAATTCAAAGTTAGTTGGAACTTTTTTGAGAGATAGTCCATATAAAATTATGTTAAAAGGCTGCAACTACATAACTTTGTAGACGAATTTATTTCGATAATAGTTGCGTTCCAGATGCTTCACGATTTGCAGGTTTTTACAGGAAGTCGTTCCAGGTGACCTCCTCCCATAAGGTTTATTAATGGAGAAAACAGCTGTTCCTGCAAATCGTGAATTTCGTGAATATCGTGAAGCATCTGGAACGCAACTTATGTTTTGACTTCAATTAAAATTTTCTACTGACCATTGAAGTCTATCGGCCAATTTCACGAAAGCAATTTGAGTGGAAAACTATTTTCTTTTTTTGTTTTCCATTTAAATTGCTGAGGGAACCGGCTGTTGGAATGTTGGAATAAATCGCTGCAGCAAAATTGCACAAGTGTGATGTTCCTATTTAAAACTACATATGGAGGGTATTGTTGTAGTTATTTCGGAACAGTTTCGCCCCGATAAAATCGCATGGGTGTGTGGATACCTCTAAAATCGTAAATAAGTTCTACCTCTTAGATTTTTTTCTTTTACTTTTCTAATAAGAAATTAACTAATATTTTTTTATGTGATATTTTACATTATGCTGTATTTCCACTAGGCATTAATTTACAACAGTTTTAATGACAATGTTGGTAGTAGAAATTCAGCATTGCACTTAAGGAAAAAAAAGGGGCCATAAAATAAATATTTCTTACCAGCTGGGTAATTCATTTCTGTTTTGTCTTTTTTGTTGTACATTTAGGTTTATGAATGACTTGAGGTTAAGTTGAGAACGAAGATATATGTATGTATCTCCAATATCCAACATTGGGTAATTTCAACTTTATGTACGCTTGAGAAGCATAGAAAGCTTTGAAGGAGTTTCTTAGCTTGAGAAAAAGATAGTAGTAGTTTCCAAGAATAATGTTAATTTATAGCTGAAAATAGGTTTGTTCGTCGAAAATCCAGCAAGAATTATCCAACACTCAAAATGTCAGAGTAAGAAAAAATTCTTTCAAATTCTCTCTCATGTTGAGAAACTTGCCAATTTCTTCACGAACACAAATTTGCAGGAATTTGCGAGTTTTCTACCAGCTGGGACACCAGCTGAGTTGCATTTCAAACATAATAAATTTATGTAGATAAACAAAAACAGGATATACATATATGAATATTTCTTGTTATTCTGACTTTCTTTAAAATATATTTCAATTCCGATTGCGAATACAATTTTTTCAGCCGAGTACAGTTCTGAGTGATGGATAATTTTTTGGTCTGCACAAACGCGATTTGGGCAAAAATCATCATAATTCGTACAAATTCGTACAAATTGTTTGCTCGACTTTCGATGATTCAATTTTTCTGATGCTATCGAATTTTTACAAGAATTCGAAAGTGCTCAAAATAAAGACCCTCCCTTTTCTTTGCGTTTTCCCTTTCGTGAAAATCTTTGTATAATTTCTAACAATTTTTACACATAATTTTATAAGAAATGTAAATTTTTTCCAAACAACATTAATAACATCGGTTGTAATCGATTGAACGCATGTATGTAGCTAAGACATCCGGCCACTTTGGCATTTGTACAAAAGTCATCTGGAAATACAAAGAAAACAAAAATTGTCAGAGTTTGTGTGGCTTTGGCGTCCTGATGGCCCCCGAGCGCATACCTGTGTATGGCCAAAAAAAAAATTTTTTTTAAAGCACGTTAAACTCATGTACATCATATATGTGCATTAGGGTGGTCCAAAATAAGTAAAGTCCGAATTTTAACGCTTTTGGATTGTTCTGTGTCGAAAAATATACCCCTATTTTTTATTTAAGATCAAAAAATATTAAAAGGTAACTCAAAGCGCTCAAAGTTTTCCATGTATTTTATATGGCAAAAGACAAAACAACTTTTCGTAAAGATGGTATGGAATTTTTGAAAGTAAAAGTTTTTCGACCGTAAACCCGTGGTTCTCTTCAGGAGACCTCCGATAAGAATATCCAATTATTTATATAACCATTTTTTAATACTGAAGATTTTTTATTTATCTCCCATTGCATTTCCTGGCACTTTCCGAGGGTTTTGGCGGACCTATAAAATATGGTTACTAAGAAAACATGGTTAAAAAAAACAATTGGGTACTATTATTGGAAATCTTCTGAAGACAAACAGATTTTTCCGATCGAAAAATATTGATTTTCAAAAATTATATACCATTTCTACGAAAAGTGGTTTTTCCCCATATAAAATACATGTAACACTTTGAGCGCTTTGAGCGACCTCTAAATATTTTTTGAATTCAAAATAAAAAATATGGGTATATTTTTTCAGTATAGAACAATCCTAGACGAGAGCATAAAAATTCCGACCTTACTTTTTCACATACATTATAGACCGCCCTAATGTAACGGGTGATTTTTTTGAGGTTAGGATTTTCATGCATTAGTATTTGACAGATCACGTGGGATTTCAGACATGGTGTCAAAGAGAAAGATGCTCAGTATGCTTTGACATTTCGTCTATTCATGATGAAATGTCAAAGCATACTGAG